GGCCCCTGTGCCACCACCACCCGCCATCTTCACACCAGATAGCCCCTCTCCTGGTGTGCCTGTAATCAGTCACAACTTTTTGTTGTCCCTTGAAGTTTATTACCATTTAAATAGCCTTTCAGCCTGAGACTTCCTGGGGTTTCTGCCTCTGCTGCCTCCTGCTCTGTAAAATTAATGCCAGTAAGATTGTGTCCTCACAGGAAAATGGTAAGGATTTTAAACCCACACAAGTCCTTTTGTGGCCCTTTAGCTTTGAGTGGAGCACTTTCTATGTACTTGACTTGCGGATGCTTAGACAGGAAAGTGTTTATTTCCAACCAAAAATTACAGCACTGAATCCTGCTGTCTGGGGCAATGTTTTTGACTACCGTGGGCAAATTCCATATTTAACTCAGTATGTGTTTTTAGGCCTTGAAGATTTAAGGGCCAGACTGCAAATGCCTTTAATCAGGAAGCAATTAATAGCACAAATTTCCTCCTTGCAGCCAGTGTAACACTCAAACAGGTAATACTCCTTTGAGGCGATGGCTCATGCCTGTTCACTACTTTTATTATTGTATATCTCTGCTAATTAGTTCCAGTTGGATAGTAGGCCAGGTTGCTACAGGGGGTTCAGATAAAAGGTACAATAAGTTAAGGCAATCTAAAGATAGCTTTAATAAGAAAATCAAATGGTTTGCTTTCCTGTTAAGCTTTTTTTTTTTTTTAATTACTATTATTTTTCCTAAAGAAAACTCACAAGCAGAATTGATGCTTTTAATGGAAATTGGGTTACCCAGGTTCACAAGGGTTATTACAGGTACCTTGCTGTGGAGGACACTCGACTGGAGCTTTTTCCAGAGCACCACGATGCTCACCCAAGACCAATCCCAAGTAGGAAACACCTAGTTTGTCTCTTTTGCACCCACCTTCGTGCCCAGGATCACAGTCCTGCTTCTCTCTCAAAAATGGTGCTCACCTTCACTTGGAGAGAAGTGTATGGGGAGCTGGGGGGATGTTTGGAGCTCACTGACAAGTCCCTGGGGCAGTGCATACATGATGTTTCACAGAACAGGAGGGTAAGGCCTCAGCTGCCCCTCTGCCCCACGTTCAGGTCAGGGCCGTTGCTCCACCTGCTATTGCTAACACCAACCCTGTTCACTCCTTCAAACACAAGCCTCACATCCTTCCTGTCCAACATGATGGTGAGAAAGAACAAACTCCCTCATTATGCTGTTATTATAATTTACTAGCAGAAACCTTCCTCTCTGCACACACAACTCTTCATGTTTGACTGTTATAATTGTATTTTCAGAGTTATAAATAACACATTAGCCTGGTTTATGTGTTCATGCAAATCAGGCTATAAAATGGAAGATGAATGAAATTAACTGTCTCCAGAATTCACATTCCTGTCACTTATTCAATTATTTGATCAACATAATTGCTCAGAGCAAGAGCTAATTGGAAAATGACATGCATTTACCCTCTCTATTGAGGAGGAGAGGCTTATCGGGTATTTTACTGCAGGCATTTTCATTACTTCCAATATTCTGGAAGAAACAAGGCTTTAAAAAGAGCCAGGCCCAAACACACAAAGCTTGTTTGCTAGCCAGATGCTTTCCCATCCTTAAAATAGCTCCAGTATTTTGCTGTGCAAGGGTTTGAACATGTCTGTACTGCAGCACATACAAGTACCTTGGCACACATATATGGGAGCTGCAAGCCAAGCTTGCCTCCAGGATTCTGCAGCACTAAATGTGTTCTTGCTCTGTATATCTGTATTCATGCTATATGTGTTTGGTTCTTTCTATGACTGGCTCCCATCCCGAGGTGCTGATGCAGAAAATATTGTTTGGCCAAGGCAGAAGAGCCTCTCAGGAGTAGGAAAGGCAGAAAGTGATTTTTTTTGGTGCTCCTGATGTAGAAAAGACTGTAATTCCCCACCTCACCAGCTCAAACCCTGCATTAAGGCCACAGTTTGAAACACTGATACCTTGGGAATGATTTTTTTTTGTCCCTTGCCTTGCTCAGATGTTCTGGTTAACATTGTGAGTCTGTACGCACACACACACCCTCCCTGACACATCTGTGCACTTTTTTATTAAATTAAAGTCTAAGAAGTGGATGCCAGAGCAGAGGGGTGGGGATGGAAAGAATCAGGAGGTAGGAGACTCAGATCCTAAATTGGTTCCTCTCTCCATTATTAGCTCTAGCATTGTTTGGGGTTGGAATATTTAATTTGTTTAAATAAGAGACAAGCAAGCAATTTTCCAGGCTGCATGAAGGGGAGGAAGATCATCTATCAACACCAACAGTTTGCAACCTATTGTCTGCAGGCCCTAAGGGTTATCTGCAGGGGAAGGGAACTAAGGAAATCAACCCCATTGTCAGTTGCCTTAAGTTTGTGACAGATGGACTGCACCTGTGTTGGAAAATACTGGGGTCTGCAAATTAAAATTGGGTAGAACCCAGCGTGTTTTCCTCCTGCTGTTTGTGAGCAGTTCAAGTATCAAGTTTTGCTTGCTTCAAAAAAACCCTCCAAAAGTGGTCCATGGAGCATGTGAGAGCTGAGAAACATGCTGTGCCAGGTCTCACCCTCTGAGGTCTAGCTGTGCTGCCAGCACTGCACAAGTGGCACAGGAAACCTCCAGAAATGAGTGCAGCAGAGCCTGTTTGTACTTATACCAGGACATGCCTGATAGTGGAGGTGTTTTAGGGTAGGAAGCAAAAGTAGCCACTAAGGAAATGAAAAATATCCTCACTATGGGTGGCTCGGGAGCTTGCAGTGTATATGTCCTGGCTGTCCCTGGGGGAAGGAGAGTTATGTCCATTATGTACTTGTAAGCACAATTTTGTCATGCTGCTTAGTGGGGATGCTGTGCAGTTTGGACCTGAGGGGTGCTGAGGACACTGGGTCCCATGCCTGCTCACAGCTCTGCACTGCAGACGGCTACAGCAAGCTGCAAACAAGGATGATGCCAAGATTCAGTGTCCTGTGAGTGACTTCAACCAGTGGACAACTAGCCTCAGTGTGAAGCTGTGATCTCTAAGCTGTGGCTAATGGAATAAATCAGTAACCTGATGGCACCACAGGACACCGCACACGGGGCATACAGGATCCTGTTGCCAGATCTAGGCACAAAGGAAGGAAAACTCCCCTAAAAAAAAATAAAACAAAAAAAGCAAAGCAACACAAAAAATATTGTGAATATCCTTGTGAATTCAGGCAGCTGTTACGGCCGAATAGGGGATGGACAGGCGCGCAGGGAAGCGGCCGCTACAGGGCGTCGCGGTGGAACTACCAGCAGGGGGCGACCGCAGCTGCTGCAACCCGGTCCCAGCCCCGCATCCTGGGGTCGCCGCCGCCCCGCATCCCAGCCCCGCAACCCGGGATCGCCGCCGCCTCGCGCCCAGCCCAGCCCAGCCCAGCAGCCCCTCATCCCCACCTCCCCTGCACCTTTCACAGACCGGCATCCAGCCTCACACGCCGCTCCGCAGTCCTGCCACCCCTCCACTCAGCACCCCTGCGGCCTCGGATCCAGCCCGCACACAGCCCTCCAGCCCAACATTTCCCTTTGCCCACCACCCAGCAGCCTCATATCTCCCCAGGTCGGTGTCCCAGCAGTCCCGCAACCAAGCACACCAGAAGACCTGCATCCAAATGTCCAGTTCTGTAGCCCTGCAGACACACTGCCTAGCACCCAGCCCCAAATACCTGCATTTCAGCATCCCCACATCCCAGCATTGCGCAGCCCTACATCCTGGGAGTCCAGCAATCCCTACCACTCATCCTCACAGCCCATCATCCAGTGCCATATCCAAGTTGCACAGCAGCCCCAGAGCTTCACAGCTCTGCAGCTCAGCCTCCTGGCAGCCCCGCAGCCAGCAGCTCAGCCCAAGCAGCTCAGCAACCCAGCCTAGGGCACACAGCAAATGCAGCTGGCACAGTGCTGCTGCTTTGAGTCTAGGCTTTTTTATGGTTTCTGCCCTCAGGGGCAATGACAACTGTGACTGTGGAGGTGGTTGTAGTTATACTGGGGCTTTTTTTTCCTGAGGTCCTGCTATGGACTGTATTGGCAGAGGTGCTATTTCATTCCTGGGAGCTGGAAAAACCTCTCTAGTGTTAGCTTGCCACAGCCTGAGGAGGCAGCTTTACAGGTGTGCAGGATGCAGCCAGCATCACTGGTGCTCTCCTGGTCCCACTGCTCTGCAGGGCTGGAGGCAGGAATGCTACATGAGGAAAGGCAAACAGCAGCTGCCTCTGCAACTTCTTGGCTCCAATGCTACAGCTGGTACTTCACTGTGAGCTTTGCCTCCACCAGGAACAGTCCCTCCCTATGCACAGTAACAGATTTTTCTGCAGGATTTTAGCATTAGAAATGAATGCTGGAGAACCTGGTGCTTTTGTTACACTGGGACATTTATCCTGCCAACTGTGAATCAACAGGATTGCATTTCTGCAACTGGAAAATTCAATAAACATACGCAGAAAAATTATTGTCCCCCAGTTTTTGTCTATTCCTCTCCACTTTGTTGTCCTGCTGAATCTCATGCTAGCAACTCCTTACAGGAGGGTGGCAGCATGTTCAATCTGATGGAGCACTCCTCACCTGGCTGACTTACAGTAGAGCCTTGCTATTATATCTGAGGCCATAGCACAGGTGTGCTGCTCCTCTGTGAACATATTCCAAAGGCACATGTAGCCTATCTTAGCTGGAATTTCATCCTATTTTTTATTCAAGTACAAAATATCTGATTATTATTTTCAGCCGAGAGAAGGTGCTTGAAATGGAAAAAGTCCCTCAAGTCAGAAAATGGGATCAAAAATGAAGCTGTGGAAAAACATTTGCAGGCAAACAATAAAAATGCAGTTTGAGTAAATGGAAATATTTAATTTCAGAGCTTTCAAGATTTTTTTTAATTAACACTTAAAAGTAAAATTATTTACATTGTAGAAGACATTTGAATAAAGAAAATATTTTTTTAAATGTCAATAATTAAAAAAAGTGATGCTTTGATATTCATAACTTTTTCCTTATTACTTTTATTTGAGAAATGTACTGGGCATGTTTTCTTTTGTAACTCTCACAAGAAAAACAATAGCTTTGAGGGATCAGTATTTTTGAATTAGAAAACATTTTGCTGAAAACTCCTATCTGGAAAAAAGCTGGTAATAGTTAGTGTGAAAAGTCTAATAGGAACCTTTTAGTTCCAGATGTGTTGTTCTGCTTCCCCTGGTATGACAGAGGTACTTAAAATTAAAGTTCAAAGATGCCGCGCCGGTGGAACTAACTACATATTTCCTGACATTTGTGCCTGTCAGCACAAGGGTGGTTAGACTGCTATTTATAAATCCGAACTTAATTCATTGTCATACCAAAGGGAGCAGTCAAAACCCCAGAGAGAAATCAGGGTCAGTGCACCAGAGGCTTTTTCCTAACTTATTTCTGGCTATGTTGTATTCGGAAGAAAGATACACGTAGCAAACACAGTCCAATCCCAGCCCTCCTCTGCTGAGTCAGAGTCAGCTTCTTAGGTCTTACGGATCTCAAGTCATAAAGGCAGGATGGTCTTGTGGCTTAGGATATGGACTCTGAGTCAGAATAGTTTATTCATGAAAGAAAAATGCTCCTTTCGTTTATTAGCACATTATTCTCTAACTGGCCTAAGCAAATTGCCACTAGAAAGTTTCAGCTGTAGACATTTTAAAGATGAATAGGGTAAAAAAAGGGAAGCCCAATCGACATTTGATCATTTCTGCAGCAACATTGCATTTATCCGTAACTAGCTGTCCTGGTAGGAAAAGGACAAGCACCAGGGTAAATACCAGAAATATTCAGATTTGTGTTTCAGTCTAGTTAAAGTCCTGTTGATTAAGCTGGGAATGTTGATTAAAGACCTTAAGCTGTGACCCCCAGCAATTCAGTCAGGTTACTCCTGCTGCTCAGCAAGGCTTGAGTTAAATTAGAAAGCATGATAGAGCGTCAGTGAGTTTATCAGCTCTGAGCAGTGTGTTTCTATGCAGATAACCTGCAAGTACCTCTCTGCTCAGCCCCGGAGTCTTATGGGGGATTCAATAGCTTGTCTGTCTGCTGGTGGGAGATATTAGAGTCCTTCAAGAAAAAAATCCTAAAAACTAATCCTGCTTTGCACCAATCCTCTGGAAATCAGTCATTCAGTCCATATAGTTAATGATCAGTTGGTGGGTTAATAGCCAAACTTGAAGTCAAGGGTTATTAAAGCTTAAAAAAAAATTAACCACTCAGTGGCTGTCGTCAAAGAAAATACTCAGTTATTTTTTGATGGTTACTTCTCCCTCTAGGCTGCCATGGAGACTGACAAGGGATATTTTAACTTGTCAAGGCAATAGCACCATAGCAACAAAACCCTGAGAAGCCCATCAGTTTGGTGTACAGGACCTGTTTTGCATATTGGGCCTTTGATCTTTAAGAGTATTTAGCACTGCCAATTTTTTATGAGTGTAGTGAAGAGGTGAAATAGGTGCCTTGTTTAAGTAGGACAATTTATTATTGTCACTCAGCTTCTGAAGGACAAGCCATGCAGAAGAGCTCAAGTCAGGGGAGAGAGGCCTTGAACACAAGAACATTTACGCTTCGGTTAACAGGGAAGAAAGCTGCATGGGGGTTTGCAGAATCCAGTTCTCATTGCCTCAGAAAAAAATGATGTTTTTATTTCTGCACTTTCAATTTGTGTTTTCTCAGTTTACTGACAAAAGAAATTTTAATTATTTGAACAACAGAAGCTAAAGATAGGGCTTTTCCTTTCTGCTTCGTACTACGGCAACAAGATTGTTGGGCAAACTTAGACTGTATAACCTGTGGTGCCACTAGCTGCCACAGACAGTAGAAGGAATTCAGACCAATTTTGAGGGTATCAGCTGAGTCCGTCACTCCAGCAGGGAAGGAAAGAGGAATCACTGCAAATGAAGTGGAGACTTTTCCAGTGAGACCAGAGATGGTGTGATATAGGTAAATGATATAACATAGCTAAGAACAACTGCTTCCAAACACAAAACTGTAAGAGGTAAGAGTCATTTCTTGTTTCTGTGATCTTTCTCTGATAGAAAGCAATCTATAATCCAGGACAGACAGCACTTAACAGCATCTAGCTGTATATCTGACAGGTCTTGACGATGTCTTTTCGCAGGCTTTTGAGCAGCAGCCGGCAGCATGAGATGGGCCGGGCTTTGCTCAGAACCCAACACCCGTTTGTGCCTCACCCACAGAGATGAACAGTTCTTTGGGGCAGTGCCTGGCACTGGGCAGCTGGTCACACTCACACAGAGAAAGGACCCAAAACAGTTCCCATGAGGTTACCCCATCCTATGGTTTTTAGGCTGCACTTCAGGGACACACCAATGATTCATAGGACAAGAGGAGGTGGTCAGTGAAGTGAATGGAGAAAAAGTGAATGGAACAGGTGCATCTGCTTCCACACATATAAACAAATACTACAGTAAGAGAGCAAGAACACTGAAATGTATCCTAGCCTTTGTCTAGTTTCCTTTCTGTTGTCAGTGAAAATCACCATGGAGCCATAGCACTTGACAGTGTTTGGATTGTTTTCTAAGAGTATGGTTGGAAGAGCACTGTCAGGAAACACCACTGCACCCCAGCTGCCTAGAAACAAAATCAGCTGTCCCTAACCATTCCTGACAGCCCTGGGTGTCTTACCGTTCTGGAGATGCTTCAGTCCCTGGAGGCAACTGAAATATGCAATTGTCCACAACATTAGAAAGTTTGTCTTACCATCTGTATTGAGCTTTCCGTGCTGCAGTTTGAGCTCGTTATGTCTTTCTTTATTTACCTCTACATGCTGTGGAGAACAGATTATTCCCTTTCTCTTTGATGTGGCAAAACCAAACAGCGTTCAGCTCCCTGTTGTTCATACAGCCCTCTCATGGGGATGGCCTATCCTTCCCCGGCCTTGCTGCCTGCTAGTGAGCCAGAGATGAGCAATGTACCCCAGAGCAGCCCGGGAGCAGCACTCTCCTCAGCTTTCCTTTTCTGTTGCCTTGGTTTTATTTAGTGCTGTCTTCCCAACTTTAATCACTTGCTGGATGTGCCTCTAGTTCTGAGTTCTTTTCCAGCGTTGATTCCTACCCCTTAGCTGTGTTTACTTAGGAGCAGCCAAAGCACATTCCTGTATCCTCTGCACCTGCTTTGCTCCTTTGCTGCCCTTCAGGAGGGCTTCCCTTCCTTCACAAAAGACAGCTCTCAAACCTGTGGGGACTGCACCACACACACACATACACACATGCAACCAGCTCTACGTTAACCAGGACTCAAGATAACCCAAAACATGAGAACAACAACAACAAAAAAGAGCTCTGTGTATAGTCAGTACCTGGAGCTAAACAGAGATATCCTACCCCTCATATTTTTTTTGTTAATTGTTGCTCTGGACATTTTTGTTTTATCAGATGGAGAAGGACACTCGAGACCTAACTAATTTGTCTCTTGTCAATGGCTCTTTGTTTTCTTTTAGTTTTTTTTCCCCCTTATTTTTTCCCTGGCCCTATAATCATTTCTTTGTCCCCTTCAGTAAGCTGGCCACTCAGAGCATTACATCCCTGTCTTAAACCTGGCTGTATTATGTTCATAACAGCAACAGCAGCATCTGCTGGGATAGCAGTGATGCACGGCCATCAAGGCTCCCTTTCCTAGGCACTGCACAAAAAAAAAAAATCTCACTGTCTGAATCAACCCAGCTCCACAGTGACCAGGACAAACGAGATGGAACCCCAGAGGAGAAAGCACCTTTTTATTTTGAAACCAATAAAACACTTTGGACTTTTCTCTCACAGGGACTTTATAGCCCTTGCTAATGGCAAGCTCTCTGTCTATGCGAGTGTAAGCTAGCAGCAAGGTACTAATAAATTAATAAAGTAGAGGCAGGGCACAGGCCCAGGCAGTTGCCCATGCAATTAAATGGTTGGCATTGCCCTTGCATGAGTTTGCTGCCAATGCCCAGGCATATTTCAGGAGCTAGTGTTGTTCTCTGCAGGTGGTTTGGGCACAGCTCTCCTGCTCTGGGGGGACAGGAGCACACCCCTTTGGCGATGGCTGGGCATGCCAATGGGTCTTGGGGGTGGAAAACACTCCTTGGCCTCTCCTACTAATTTGTGTGGCCGTAGACTTGGTGTCTCAGCACTGCACAGCTTAGAATGGATTTACTCATCGCAGCATCCCTGTGAAGCAGGGAAGTGCTGATAAGCCCCTGGGTCTGAGAGGAAAAACAAACTCATGGAAATGCTGAAAGGGCTACATGGCTCCAGAGAAGTCTTCAAGTCCCACAGCCCTCTTGTTTCTCAACCTCCTTCCCCAGCCCCAAGTCTTGAAGCCCCTCAGGTGGGTGAGGATGAGCCAGCCACGAAGACGTGCCCCCAATCTGGTGGGGATGCTGAGCTGCCCAGGACCACATGGAGCGAGACAGGGGCCACCTCCTTTGAGCTCTGCAGCTGAGAGGAAACCCAGCCTGCTGAGGCTGGGCAGCTTAAAGCATGAACTGGGCAAGCCTAGTCCAGACAACAGGATCAGGCTTGCACTTAACTTGACCCTTAGTGACTTGCAGAAGCTTAGGTAGGAACGTGGCTCCTCCACCCCACACGCTTTGACTTACTGGGATGTACAATGCAGGGTCTCTCAGAGGCCACATGTCAAATCCATATGGATGGTTTGTGTAGAGGAAATTGGCGGGGTCGGGAAGAGTGGAAGGTACTCGGTGCTTTACAGATACATTGCCTGAAGTTCCCCTGCTGAGAAAAACAGAAAGCAGTTCAGCATCATGCATTTTCCATTTTCTATTTTTTCCACTCATTTTCCCCATACCTGTGTTCTGAGGGAGATGATCAGTCATTCAGCTACTGGGTCATCTGTCTCTGTTACTAGATCACGTCCATCACTATGGTGTCAGGGACTGCAAATACAGAGAATCTGTGTTCATTAATTATGGCATTATATGAAAATGCACTGTTTTATCGACAGTCATATTTTGAGCAATACCATTATTTTGATACCTGAACAGTCACAACTGCACCTTTTGACAGAGTGCCCTCAGATTTCCAGGGCTAGCTCCCAGGCACAAGGTTATAGTCCCTGCAGAGCCATGCACACAGGGGGCAAGGATTTGTGGCAGGAGGAGGGAAGTGTTGGGAGCCACAGCTCCCCACCAGCACGTGATGGGTGACCCTACCCCAAGACACCCAGATGCAGTGAGCCCACCCCCGGTCATAACCCAGTGAAGAGCTTTACTATGCCCAGAGGCCAGCTGGAGGCTTCATAGGGTGGATGGATCCAGAGGCCATATGGATCCAGGCTGTGAAGATTCAGCTGTATTTATCCGAGACTGCTTTTCTTCTCAGCTCACCTCTTACTGACACCTGCACACCTCCTGTGTGGTGGAAATATTTGTGCCTTTCCCTGCTCCAGGGTGCTGATAGCAGAGGTGCAGTGAGGGCTCATTACTTGCTCAGGGTGGTGCTGCAAAATCAGGAGGAGGAGGCGAAACCTACTCATGGCCTTACCTTAATTATTATTATTCTCCTTGCTGAGTCTTCTCCTTACTGCCTCTGATAGGAAAGGTGCTTTTCGTGCATATAATTGCTTAAAAGCAAAAGGAAAACTCAGCAAAATGAAAAGCACCACCACCACCACAAAAAAAAAAAAATCCACACAAGAAACCTGGGCCTCATTCACTCTTCTGTTAATTAGCCTTAAAGAAAACAATAAAACGAGAAAGCAAAGAAAAAGCCTAGGAAGGTAATTGGGCTGGGCTGCTGAAGAAGCAAGAACTGTGGGAAACAGGGAGATGGCTGCAGACAGCATCACCTTGCAGAAACCCCACATTTCTGAGGTCTGCCTCTCTCATGAGTCCTGCTTTGCAGCAAATCAGAGTAGACGGGGTAATTATGACAGCTGTGCTTTAGACTGGTTTAAGAAGTTGTATTTTCCTGACCGCCTTTGGAGCACAACAGCAGTGGCAGGCAGATTCCTGCCAGCACAGCTTGGCTAAATCTACCAAAACAAGCAACCGACTAGCCTTCTGGAAGAACTTGCTGGGTTATTTTTGATAGGCGTTTGTTTTCAATGACAAGTTTCCGAGGAAAACAGTAGCATTTTAAAATCTACATGTACAGCCAAGAAAGCTTGTGGACTTTTCCCTCCTTCTTTCCAGCAAATACTTTGCTGCCTCTTTTACAATGCCATTTCTAATGACGTAAAGTGAAGATAAGAATTGTTTGCCCACACTGCCTTGCTCAGTTTTCCATGTGTAGCTTCTGGCTGATTTGCCATGTGCCCCTGCTGAGGTCTCAATCCATTTTCAACTGAAAGCGTCTGGGTTCTTGCTTGGCTTATCATGCCGACACAGCTGGCAACCTATTAATCTCCTGTTCCCTATGCCTTTACTTCAGTGGGAAAGCTCTGGTGCTTTTTAGTGGTTTGTATTTGCAGCTAACAGAGGCTGGTGCTCAAAGCCTCTAGGACACTTCTCCACAAAAACCCCTCTCCTGAACTACTGGAGCTGGAAGCGGTTCAGCATTTTTGTCCTTCTTGCTCTAACACTCTCTGTCAAAGATATGGAGATCCACAAAGCAGCTGGAGAAGCAGGTTCAAAGACAGGATCACATTATCTACCAGTAATGCTTTACCCTCATTCACATCTTTAGTCTAAGGACTTCAAGACACCTACAAAGCACTTTCTCAAACACTGATAAATTGAGGCTCAGTTTTCACTCAGTAGGTTTGTTTCCCTGTTGAGCTATGTTTTTAGGCACATGAATTCTGTCAGCTCCCTCCCCAGCTAAGAGAGGACACTAGTCTGTCAAGGTTATCTAGTAAAGGAGCCCTTGGAATCTCATTCTGCTTAGAAAACTGTTTTAAAGTAACCTGGTGAAAACATTGCTGTGTGATGGTAAACCATTGCCTTTTAGAGCCATGCTGGTGGTACTGTTCTGGCAACTCTTTCTTTCAAAATCCAGCTCAAATGCACTAGAATGGCAATTTCCTGAGCCCAGCCTTGTATGCTAGTGAAGGACTCCCAAGTAGAGACAGGATGCCTGAAAGGGAAAAAATCTCTTATATTGTGGTTGGCTTCTGATTTATGTATAACTATTATGGCTGAAAAGTGCTGTCCTGAAAACCTGGGAATCGAAGGTTTTCATCCTGTCCCTGAAAAGACAAACATAATGCCTGTGTAACTGCTTTCCAGTATCCCAAACCAGCTCACAGTTCGCTACCAAAGAAGATTTCTGGTGGGGTGGAGCACAGCATGCTGAGAAGTGCCTGCTCCTCCCCAGCTGCGGCTGCCGGCACCACGGAGGTGGGATTGACTCGGCACTGAGCTGGCCCAGCTAAGCTGGGGATCAGGGAGGCACCCGGGAGCCCGCCCCCATGTACAACCACCTGAGCCAGGATGGTGCTGATTTGGATGGCAGCGTTTGCTCTGCACTAAGTGAATCATGGTCTTTGGTTTCCTGCCTTTGTGTTACCATGCAGCACAGAAAAAGCCATGGCTTTCCCTCTTTGCTAAGCTGCCCCAGAGCCAGCTGTGGATGCTTTCCTGAGATGCCTGCCCTCAAAGTCGGGCAGTTATCACAGAAGAACAGACTGCTCACTTTCAATAAAACTGACACTTGCACTGGCTTGTTCCAAGCCTTTTAATCCCCACCAAGGAGATCCTAGCAACTGCTTTCAGAAGAGATATTTAAATGTGGAAAGGGAAAAGGCTTTTCAGCAGCGGCCATGGGGTTCTTCCAAGTTTGATACCAAGAGGAAGTGTCTGGCTCCAAAAGAGATAACACTAGGACCAATTGTTGTTTTTCAGCCTTAAAGAGTAACCAGCTAAAAATGCATGGGACAAACTGTCCACAAAAGCAGATCAGCACAGATCTATTGGCTAGGCCAAGTTTCACTGGGGAGGCTAGATGCAGAAGCAAGCATGAGAGCATTGCTGGCAGAGCAGACAGGTCTCTCTGTTAACCTCACCTCCCAGCACTGTTAACAAAAGTGAAGTCTCCCACTAGGAAGCTGGGCTCAGGAAACTTGGGCTCATGCAAGGGCGTGGATGGCCCAGTTTGCGGTGCCTCTGGGGACATCCCCCAGTGGTGGGGAAGTGGTAGATTTTTCCAGGGAGTACTAAGTACTGAATTCTGTTCAGCCTGGGTAGTGATTGTTTCAGCCCAATCTGGGCATATTTTACAAGCACCTTGAGAAATCGCTTCAGCATAACGAAGCTGTTCAGTGTCCTGATTCTCTGTTCTTAGGGGACACACAGACTGTCTGCCCTCTTGCATTCCCTTTTCTCTTGCAATATTTGCATTTGCATTTAAGACGTGCAAAGCCTGTCTCCTTCCACCTACCTCACTGCTCACTGTCCCTCTGTGCCCCATCAGCCTGGGTTGTAGCAGCCTCTTAGCAGCCTCTTCCCAGTTCTCCAGCCTGGTCTGAACGCATTACCCTCTGTCACAACTCATTGCAAACAGGGACCTTATTCTTAAATATATCCTTGCATCCCAAATGCAAAGAGATATCTTCACATTTAGGTTATCAATATTCAAAAGCATCAGCAATTTTAGGCCTGGTCCAGACACAACTTCTGCATCTCCTGTTGTGCAGCTGGAGTTCCCCAGCACCTCCCAGCCCTCTCTCTGCAGACTCAGGAAGTCAGATCCCTTATATCCGTCATGCCATAAGGATGTAGATTTTGGGGAAGAAACCCCAGGTCTGGCAGGCTGCTCTGGAACCTGACTCCCATTTGAAGCAGTCCTGAGGCCTAAAACTCTGGCAAGGTGAGGGGTTCAGGTATAGCATGTGGGTGGGGTACACAGAACGGGGTGATGAATTTTAGTGCACACAGATTGCTGGGGTTCATCTGCATTCAAAGAGACTCTGGGTGTTTAATCAGTATGAAAACAAAACAGATGCCTCGCATAACCTTGAAAAGAAAACTGATAAAGGTCTTTCAGCTTGTCTAAAAAAGAAAATGTCTCCTGTACAAAAAATACCTCCAAGATACAAACAACTTCAGGAATATAGACTACATCACTGAAGATGTAGGAGTGTATATGGGAGATGGTGGACTGCAGTCTAGGCTTGGGCATGAAGGCCATAGAGATCTGCCTGTGGGGTCACATGAAGATGCCCATAAATGTAGGTCACCTCAGTTCCAGCATGGAGTAAAGAGAGCGTTCATATCAGGGATAAGAGCAGGGCTGAAGCAGGAATCAGCAGAGGCAGCCGGCACGGTTTCTTCCCAGGAGTGCTACAACTGTCAGGAAGGCTGTGGCAGAAAAATTACTCACTAGTCTGCTTTAACAGGGAGGGGGATGCATAGCAGAAATGAAAGGTTTTCCCAGCTGCTGGAAAGAGCCCCTAGAGAACAGAAGCATGGCAGACTAGGATTTTGACAGCTGTTTTGGGAGTCCACCTGAGGAACCAGTAGGGTTATGGCAGCTAGGAAAACTAGTGAGGGAATTCACACATGGACTGGTAGGTGGTCTGGTAAAGAGCACCTGTGCTGCAGAAACCATGTCAGTTTTGAGTGTTAGCTGCTCTGCTCCAGCTCCTCAGTGATGTGTGTCCAAACTGAGCTGTTGTTTCTCTTCTCAGCTCTCTCCTCTGTCACTCACCAGTCCCACCAGTGTGCAGCACATTGTCCAAGCATGTTTTTTTCTCCTCCCATTTAGTCCTTGGATTTCCTCCCTCTCTCCAGATTGTGTGTAAACTGGGACTCCTGTGGCAGAAATAGCATGGTAGGTTATAAATCCTAGTGAAAAGAAGAGCAATGAAATGCAATATACCACAGGGCAGGGGCAGTTCCTTCATTCAGGTGTTTGGCAAAACTGGTAACTTTGTTAGTTTTCTTACCAAGACATTTATCTGCCACCACCTAGATCTTACCCAGTGTGTCTCCAGCAGTGCCCAGGCGACCTGCTGGGGTGACTGCTTAGTCTCTGCTCAGAGCCAGCAGGGAGAGCCCTCGGAAGAGCTCCCACCTCTGGTGCACTCAGAGGGGTGTGGGGCAGCCCTAGGGCAGTGAGGGGCTTACAGGACAAGCTGGCAAATTGGTGACTGTCACACAAAATCAGGACATGCAGTGCTTTTCAGTACCTGACCTCAGATCAGCCAAAAAGGATTTTGAAAGCGAGATAAAGGACTCACCTCCCACTGTGGTTTCCCTGCAGAGGCGCCTCAGATAGAGGTTAATTTGTTTTCTGAATTAAATAGAAATTTGGGAGGCTTGAAGCAATTGTTCTTTGTTTTGGTTCTGTAGGGTTTTCTCCATGTTTATCTCAACAATTGGTTTTGCCTGTGAGTTTTTGGTAGCCTCTTCTCAATCAGAACTCAGCTGGTAGGGTGGCAAGAATTTATTGTGTTAGTAATGTGTGCAACTTACTGATCCCTTTCCCCAGGTAGTGAAAACGTCCCTGAAATCAATACTTTGGGCATGAAAATGTTATTAAAAAAAGCCCTGGCAAAAATATAATTTTTTAAAACTACAAATCAAATATATAATAAAAGTAGCAGTATCTTGTAGTTCTCTAGCCCTTTCCCCTCATATTTCTCAAAGAACAGTCTCAAAGGCACTTATCTAGAGTCAGAGCACTCCTTTATATAAATTGCCCTTTCCTTCCCAGGTTGCTGTCCTTTCCTTGCTCTCTCTCTTTCTCCCTTCCTCACTCCCTCCCTTCCTCTCTCCTTCCCTTTTCTTCCCCTTTCTTTTCTCACCACCTTGCATGCCACTGACCCACTCCACCAAGTCACCAGGATCCTGCTTTTTGGAAAATGAAGGGGTGCATTAGAGATGGGTTTTTTTCCAGACCCTAGGGTTGCTCTTTTCAATAAAGAACAGGATCTTGGTGACAGCCGTACAGAGCAGCCATACCCTTCCCTGGAACAAGCAGCAGTGCATCATGTCATGCTCAGAGAGTGCTGCCTCACTCCCTCGCCTCTCTCTGTGTCAAGCTTTTCAAGTTTCTGCAAGAAAACAAAAAAAAGAAAGGTTTGCATTCTACAAGGCCAGTATCTAGTTCATAGTTTTTATATCACAGGGAAAAAGATAAGCCAGGGTATAACAATGACCTACTTCACATCCTGATAAAATAATTTCCTCTCTCTGTAATTTTTCTTGAAGAATAATATTTGACTAACATGAGCACGTAGGATAGAGGAAGAGCGTTTCTGGGAACTGGCTGATAATGTGTCAAATTCAGCCCTGAGACAGACAACTGCCACCCTGTTGACCCATGTGGAGTTAAGCCTGTTTATCCCCCAGATTAGAGCTCTGAAAACAATTGGGTTCAAACCTGTAAGATGTGTGCATGTGATAGGGTTGAGGCTGAAAGCTCAGAAGCAGGGGCTATCTGTTTCAGCATCCCTCCATCAATGCACCCTCAGCCCACCGCCACCACGGCTGCCTGGGAACTGCTCTGACTTGCTGCTGTGGTGCAAACGGCCCCCCCCCTTTGCAAAACAACTGTTTAGCTCATCCTTTTACACAAAAGGCTACAGTACTGGGTAGGGTACATTACAGTATAGGGCAACCATGCAGCTCTGAATCCACTCACATCCCCCCTCCCCAAGCACAGAAACAATGCAGACTGTTATGGCTCACTTGCTGGAGCCTACTTAGCTCAATGCATTGGCTGTATTTGTCTACTGAAAGTGTTTAAAAATGTACATGTGGCATTTTTTGCTTGCATCATTGCATGAAGGGCTTTCTCACATCATCTTTCGATGCTGTTCAAATGGATTGCCACCCAGTGCATATCGCCCACCCTCTCATCTCCCACCTACAGGATTTTTCCTTGTGGTTTGCAACTTTTCTCTTAAGGAGTTCTCATACAGGACACGAATTTGCCATTTGCCACTGCAGATAAGAGGTGTCATTGCTCGTACATCCTTGTGCCCTCAGTTGTGCCATATTCCAGCTTGGTGTCAGAGATTGCAGAATGCCTGCTCACCTTCTCTTCAGCAAAAATAGACAAAACAGACCAAGGGGGCAAAAATCCATCAGCTGCCATGACTTCAGCAAGATGGCCAAAGATGGCCAAAGCCAACTAGTGAACAGTATTTACTGTACTTACTGTCAACGTATTTACTGTGTGCTGACTTCCAGCTTCATATGCTATTCCACAGTACTAACAAGGTACATGATTTATGGGATGCTGCTGAGAGCAAAATGTAGTTAAAATGTAATTATGGTACTCCTTTTATTTCTTTCCTTGAATAAATGTGGTATGAATCTTGCCTGGTCTATTGACTTTTCTCCAGTTTCTTGTTCCCCGAGGTGGAAGGTTCCCCTGGATTTCTAGAGATGGAAAACTACCAACTGCTGGGCTCTGACAGGAGAAGGGTAACAAGCATTTTGGCACAGAGATGGAGACCCCTTTTGACAGCTCTGCTCCTCAGGCACAACGGGCCTTTCTATCAAAGCTCATGTGTGCAGGAGACAACTTTCTTGGGTACTGCTCAGGGGAAACTACAGCCTTAAAAGCTGTACCTCTTCCCATTGTACATGTCTTTTGTTAGCATTGCCTTCTCTTGTATAGAGATGCACCTATATATACACTTAGAACCACACAGAATAAAAATGAGATACTGGGCTGCAAATGTGGTTCTGCCCTCTGCACAGAGCAGTAGGGAGGAAATGCACCAGAAGTAACAGCATCCAGCCTCCATGCTCGATGCAGTTCCCCAGAAATGACTGAAGATACTGTTCCTTGTCTTGTGCAGATCCTTGCTACCTTTGGAGTTTCACTGAAAAGTGATTTGTTTTCAATTCAGAAGAAGGGATACAAGTCTGTGCAATTTATCCATTTTCCTTTTGCCTCCATTGAAGGAAAAGAAGGACCTGTAACAATTTATGGTACAGGGACTGGTACCTGATTTTGGTCAGGAATGTGATTGTCACCTGTACCACTCTTATACTAAGCTGTGCGGTTCACTGTTGAAACGACATCGCTGCTCAAGCTGTTACCACACTACAGGTAGCTCTGAGGTCCCTCACCATTTCAGCAGAGCAGCCACGCAGTCTTCTCATGTCTCTGAGTGGAACACCTGCTGGGCTGAAGGTGCCCAATCCTGAATTAAACACTGTAATTTTGCAGCCAGGTGGCTGTGGAGCACACTTGCCTTTAAGGCTCTGCTATGGAGGGAGGAGCCTCAAGAACGAGCGTGGTAATAGGCTGCCCTGGTGGTAACCTTTCAAACAGCTGCAGCTGTTTGCAAAGTGAACCTGCATCTGCACACATAATGTTTTTCCCTTTTCCAACAAGAATAAGCCATATTAGCATTATCCTGGCACAACTGCATCCATACTCTAGGGAGTTAGCTGCAATAGTATTGTTAAAGCAATTCAGCTTTTCTAAGTAGACAAGCTATAATTACACTAAATTAAAATAGAATGCTTTTGTTCTAACCTCAGCATCCCCACGAGGACTTGCACCAAAATAACCAAAGGTACAAATTAAGCCATTTCTGTCATTTTAGTACATGCCTGAGCACAGGCAGGCTCCCACTTCAATCCTTCTACCTGTCACTCCTGGCAGAGCTCAGCTGCCTGGGTGATCTCCTCACAGGCTTCATCACAGAGGGATAAAAGTATGAAAGCGCCCAATGGGGAAACGCTTCTTGGTTGTAGCTGGGTGCCCTGTGATGACTCTCTGGGGCTAATGTCATATGTGTTAGCACTATATTTGTTAATTTAGGGGAACATAATTCTGCAGGACTGTGGTGTCCCATGAGAGGGTCAATGGCCCCTATGGGTCTTGAGCATGAGGGTCACACTGAGCCCCTATGCTCTGCTGGCTGCTCCATCCTTGCCTCGCTGTGCTCCTTGCAGGAAATGGGTGCTGCCACCCTGGTGCAGGGCTGCAGGGCGATGTTCCTTCCCCACACCTTCAACTGCATGCATAGAGCATCCGACCTGGGGTCTTCCCAGCTGCCTTCAGCCACGGAGGACCTTGGGTCTGGCCCTGCTTTGGAATGCCCAAAATGTCTAAGTGCACAAGTGCCACAACCCTATGGAGAGCCACAGCGACACTTCCCGTGGAAGAAGCCAGGGCACTTAGGAAAACAAGATCAGTTGTACAGAGTGATTATTTGCATGAGGCATGAGCCTTTGCAGGGCCTTCAGTGGTCTGACCACACAGAGCTTCAGGTTTTACTGAAGGTGGAAGATGACATCCCCACAGGCCTCACACTTCCAGCTCCTCCAGTTACCCTGAGACAGACAGATGGGGCATGATGGGCAGATGTAGCATGTGCTGCAGTACTAAACCATCTGCCTCACATGGGTTTCCATTTCAGTGAGGGAAATAGTAGGGCGCACTGGGAACTCAGATGCTGAAAATGGTAAACTGAAATCCCGACTCTGCCACAGACTTATCAGCACTAATTTGGGTAAGTTGTCTCAGATACCTGCACTCGATGCCTGCCAAGTGAGGTATCCCAGATACTCCAGGTGTCACGGTTCATGTTTGTACAGTGCTGCTAAGGTCCCCAGAAGAAATGTGTTAATAACGTTCCCAATTTAGGGCAGAGGCAAGCCATTCACCAGCCTTTCATTTCCAGCGTTCAACTGCAAAACCTTCCATGGCCAACTTATTTCAACGGTGCTAAAAATGAAGTGCCTCCTTTCCCACGGCACATGGCCCAGTTTATCCTTCCCCAAGGCTGCCGGTGGGAGCTCACTGAGCAAACACACCGAGAGCACGCCACCGCAACTTGACGGCTCTCCTGCCCTGCTAAGTGCGATCCGCTCCGCCCCTCCGGGAGAAGGGCGCAGGCAGTCGGGGCCCAGACCCGTGCTGGGGAGCCACCGGGGCCGCCGGCGAAGCCCCTGTCCCGCGGCGAAGCCCTGCCAAGGCCGAGGGTGCCTCAGAGCGGCGCGGCCAGAACGGTCCCTTACAGCGGCACCGCCGTGCAGGGGTGCGCGCGGGCCCCGACGGGGCGGGGCGGCCCCGCCCCCGCCGCCAAGCCAGCCAGTCGCGCCGCGCGGAGATGTGAGCGGGCCAATGAGAGGCGCGGCCGCGCGGCGGCGACCCGCCCCCTCCGCGCTCCCGCGGCCGTCGGGGCGGGCGGAGTGGGGCGCTGCGGCGCCGCCTGGCGGCCGGTGCCGGTCTATGCCGGGCCGAGCGGCGCCGGCCCCTCCCCGCAGCGCCGCGCTATGTCACGCGGCGGCGCGGGGCCGGCGGTCAGGACTCGGGAGCGCGGGGCGAGGCGGTAGCAGCGCCGCCGGGAGCCGCCGTCTGCGCCGGGAGCCGCCGCTGCCGCTCGCGCCCGGGGAGAGCCAGCCGGCACCGGGGCTGGCTTCGCGGCGGTCGCGCCGCTCCTGCCGGCCCGCCGGGGACCCGCACCGCCCGGCCGCCGCCGCGCCCCGCCGCCCCCCGGCCGGCGGCCCCGGGCAGCGCGCCACCCCCGGGTCCGCGGGGCTCTGCGTGGCCGCGCGGATGCCGCCGCAGCAGGAGGGCGAGGCGGGGTACATCAGCAAGCCGGTGCCGCCGGGCGGCTGTGAGGTGCCGCCCGTGCCCCCGCGGAGGGTGCGCAGCGGACGGGCGGCCGCGGCGCTGGGAGCGGCGCTGGGCGGCCGCTGCCGGGCGGCGGGGTCCGGGGCCGCGGCCGTGGCCGGAACCGGGACCGGAGCGGGGTCTGAACCGCGGCGGAGCATCAAGTGCGTGCTGGTGGGGGACGGCGCGGTGGGCAAGACCAGCTTGGTGGTGAGCTACACCACCAACGGGTACCCCACCGAGTACATCCCCACTGCCTTCGACAACTTCTCCGGTAAGTGACCGGGGGGACCGCGGGGACCGAGGCGGCCGGAGGGGCAGCAGGGAGCGCGTCCCGGTCGTGCCTCTCCCAGGGCCGTGGCTTGGCTGCTTGGAGGGGCTGATGTCCAGCTTCGGTGATTTCTTTATTTATTTGTGGGGAGCAGGACCCTACCCGGGCAGGACCGGAGCTTGTCAGGCTGCCATCGCAGGCAGCAGCACCAGCCAGTCGCCGGTGTAACGGAGCCGGGCTGGCAGCGACTGTCGTGCCTGGCGGTGCGACCAGAGCCGAGCTTTAATTGGGAACTCTCCGCTGTAAAGCTTAGCGCTCTCGGGCGTATCGGAACCGCCTAAAGGTCAGGTTAAATACCTTCTCTAGCCCATGCGAAGGGAGAGGTTCTGGGGTTTCTCTGTGGTTCAGCGGGGGCTTTTTCTGTCCGGGCGTGCTGAAGGTGTACGGCGGGGAGAATAAACTAAACCCTCGTAGCAGAATAAGATTCTGGACTGGCGGGCTAGCTCTTGGCGCTGCTGGCGGAGAGCTGGTGCCGTCACCGCCTACATCATCTCTTGTAGTGAAATGAATCGGAAAGCCCTGAAGGGCCTGTGTGTGCCCAAGTGTTAACGACAGACTCCCTTCCAGCTCTGCTAAATCGTTGAATCTAAACTAACTGAAGAAAGATAAGAACTGATTTTTTTAATTTTTCCGTAATGGAAAACGTGTAAACTTGGACTCACCTCAGTTTTACCCTCCCTCCTTTCTCTCCAAAGCTGTTGTGTCTGTCGATGGGAAGCCAGTGAGACTTCAGCTCTGTGACACAGCTGGTCAGGTCAGTGGAGCCACTTATTTGATTTCAGTGACAGCGGGAGGGGAGAAGTTGTTGCGCAAAGTTGTCCTGCAAATGACTTCATGGATTTGAAAGTATTCCCAGTGTTTGATCATCTTATTATCCGCTATCATTTTCATTGCTGCTTAATGCCCTGCTTTGTCCGGTGTCTGTTGAAGAGTGGGGGGCGTACTGTGCCTCTGTATAGGGGCTGGCCACAGGCTGCTGCTCTGCTGGCTCAAGCTGCTGCTGTGTTTAGCCTGACTAGAAAGGCTGAACATATTGGGGATCCAACGGCCACCTGGTTTTCTCTTTGAGCAGTTGTCACTGTCTTTATCTTTGCTAAATAATTGCGTTTAAGAATCAGGGTGTTTGGGATGTATGCATGCAAAGCATCCACAGCTTTAGGTGTCCAGAGATAGACTGTGTTTTTGAAGAGACAGAGGCTGAAGGGAGAAAAAAGTCCTGTTGGGTGTTGTCCACGGAGACTTCATATTTGCCATTCCCCACCCCCTTAAAAAGTGATGCTGCCGCGAAGCTGAGGTTTGCTGTAATCTAAGACCTGAAGAGATGAGGGTAGCTGATGTCTCTCATCTCCTAGTTTGCGTGATACATAAAAAGAGCCCATTTCTTACCGCCTTATATTTTCTGCAAATCCCTGGCTTGTACCATTCTGAGCAGTGTGCAACACTGCTTGCCAGGGGTTGAGGCTGGATAACCAAATGTAGGCAAAAATATTTGCTATCTCTCTGTAATTTGAAGGCAGTGGGAGTTAGGATCCTTCACAGCTTTGTGGATCTAGGTCTACGCCTTCACCAAAAACATGCTGAAAAATCTCAGTGGCCTTAACATACAAACCTATTTAGATGAGTAGTAACTGGGTGTGCTACTTAGGAAAGGGGTTTGAAGGGCTGTGTAGTCCTCGACAGCAGTGTAAGACTCCCATGCGCACTACAAACCAATGCCGAAATCCTACAAATGGCATTCTGCGAGTACCAATATGAAGTTAAACAGCAAGACTGTCCCATAATTTTGTGTCCTACTGAAGAGATGGGGTGGTACTACAGCAGCATGGGCTGTGCGTGTTCATATGCAGAGTGTGGCAGGTGAAATTGCCGTTGGATGACAGTCTGTGGATATGTAGTGCCTCTGGAAATGCAGCTGCAAGCTGCAGGAGAGATGGGCAGGCCACCCCGGCACCTCTTGCCTTTGTTAAGGCAAGAGGTACCTCTTGCCATTAATGCTTAAGATGTTTGCTATGGCTGCCCAAGGGCAGCTGGAGTGGGTAGAGTCGCTGCCTTTAAAATTAAAAGATTATCTAAACTGGCAGAAGTTGTCCTGAGTAAAAGATTTCTAGATGGATACTTTGGTAAAACTGCTGCTGAAATCTGCAGCTAAAAGAGCACTCCAGACAGAGGGAAATTCTATTTCAGCTTCTACTTCTATTTCCTCACTAGCCCAAATAGGTATAGAGTCTCTGCAGGCCATGTGCCTACCATTGAAACAGCAGGAGTGTACTTGGGATATAAAGGGCACTATTTCATCTTGGTGGAAACCCTTAAGATCTGGGTTTGGCTTCCAAACCCATTGAATTGAGACCTTTTGAGCTTTCTCAGGTAGCAAGAAGAGGCAATTACATGGCAAAGTACCTTTCTGCAAACAGCCCTGTTGTTCAGCACAGCATCTCTCAGTAGATGTGGGGGTTTTCTCGAGCCAAGCAGTGAGAGCCTCGTTTCCTCTGAGGCTTAATCTGAGAATCAAGAGAGCTAATGAAGCTTACTTTCTTGACTCATGTTTTATAAATTGCTGTCTCTCCCAGAGATACTGCTAGAAGAAATTCATTTGAGTGGAACAGGACTTCTGAGGCTTCCAGGGGTCTTTAAACTGCGTATCTTGGGCCTCCAGAGGCTTTAAAGCAAAGTCTCACCACTCAAAAATTAACATGGAACGTGGAACTTGAAATTCAACAGTAAACTGCTGGTACCAGGGAGATGTTTTCAGCTCTATGTTTCTGTGCACTTTCAATTCCAAGCTTTTGAGAACATCGTCCGTTTTAATTAAAATGTCACTGCCGCTGAGGCAAATCCTACCTGTTCAGGCTGCTAGTGTTACCCTGCTTTTATCCTGCTGTCAGCATAAAAGCAGCCTGCCTGGAGTTAACCCTTGTTTCTAGCTGCATTCTTCCCTGAGGATCAGCATGCCTTTGTTACCATGTTGGCTTTCTTGTGGCTAGATCTTGAAGCTGAAAAAGGGCCCTGCTTTGCTGGAGTTTGCACTAAAAGGAAAGAAAAAAACCCAGAAAGGTAGTGCTGGGAGGCCCGATTGCAGTTTGTTTGATGTGGCATGGGTGGGAGGGAAAGGTAAAGCTCTTACTCTATGTAATTGGCATGTTAAGCCTGCACATTGTAAACCATTATTGCTCCCTTTAGATTTAAATCCCTGTGCACAATGGCAGGGAAATTATTCCCCTATCCTGTAGGATGTTGTTAAGTAGTTACCAGTTTAAAAACCAACTCCAGGAAAGGTACCCAGAAAGGTACCTGCTGCCACATGCCTACTCTCTGACCTGTCAGCAGAGCAGCTTTGAGGTACATGGGTGCTCCTCATCAGAACTGCTTACTGACTCACCCCTACACCCTAAGAGGTGGCCCTGTAGAAAGTACTCTCTCCCTCTTTAATTTTTGGTTTCCTGTACTGTAACCTGCTTCCCGCAGCTTTGCTTCTTTGCTGAAGTAGGGCAGAGGGCCTCTGTACAAAGAGCAAAAGAAATATTTAAGCACTTGAAATAACCTGTGGCATGAATCAGAATATCTCAGGTACGCGGGGAAGCCACCACCTTCGTCCTGTGTGCCCAGCAGTGGCAGGGTGCCTGCTGGCTGGCAGCCATGAGACCTCAGGCTGAGTACAGGCAACTTCTGCTTGTAACACACCTTGTTGGGTACTCTGGGTGCTCATTTTGAGGTGCTTTTCGAGGGGGCAGTGGCAGGTGATCCTCAACTTCCCCAAAGGTCAGCAGCAGGCTAGAGCTGCTCTTCTGTGGGGTGCTAATGCAATTTTGTTCCATGCAGGATGAATTTGACAAGCTCAGGCCTCTGTGCTACACCAACACGGACATCTTCTTGCTGTGCTTCAGTGTGGTGAGCCCTTCGTCCTTCCAGAATGTGAGTGAGAAGTGGGTTCCTGAAATTCGATGCCACTGCCCCAAGGCACCCATAATCCTGGTTGGGACACAGTCGGACCTCCGGGAGGATGTCAAAGTCCTCATTGAGCTGGACAAGTGCAAAGAAAAGCCAGTCTCGGAGGAGGCTGCAAAGCTCTG